GGCGGGAGCACGGCCGCCATAGCAACCGGCGCGCCGCGCCTTCTGCCAGTTATGACAGAATAGCGGGGTGCTCACGTGCCTGCCGGCACCCCCACCGACTCCGGGTACCCGGGACCCCATTTCGCACCACTCCTATAAAATATATTGGGCTTTCCAGGAATTTTTCCTCAAAAAATTCTCTCTGATGTTAAAGATTTGCTCTTTACTATTTGCCCTTGCCAGAAAATTTTGATCTAGGGACCGGCAGGTGGTGTGGTGGTTAAAGGCGCTGGATTCCCACAGGGTGGGATCGCGACTTGAGTCCCAGACCTGGTGGCTTGCTTTCTTTCTCTGTTCCTCCCTGGTCAAATTGAAATAAACCAATGAATAAAGAAATTAAGTTAAATAATTTTTTTAAAAAATGATATGTTAATAAGACAAGTAATGTTCGTTATGGGATGTTAATCTTTGGGGGAGAGTGACGCGGTTTAAATTAACTTGGGAAATTCAACTTTTGCCTTTAATGTAATATAACTGGTGTTTAAATATGCTGACTAGTAAAGTCAAAGATGTGGTCTTCCACCCACACTTTGGGTTTTTTTTATTTTTTGATAAGTGAAGAAAAATGAGATAGGAACATGAACAGAGATATTTCAACAAGGTTATTCGAAGGTATTCTTTTTTATTTTAAAGACTTATTTTCTTCCTCTTTATTTATTTACCCATTTATCTGTCGTAATTTGACCAGAGAGGGACAGAGTGAGTGAGAAAGTGAGAAAGCAAGCTGCTAGGTCCGGGACTAGAACAGTAGTCAGCTGTTTGAGAGTCTGGAGATCCCAACCACATCACCTGCCAGCCCTTATTTTTCAAGAGGCCTTTAATTCCCATATATATTATGCAATTGGCAAATTTATTAGATGGAATCACAACATCAAAGGAGCTAAGGAAAATCTAAAACATCATGAAGTACCTTAAGTTAGTTCAAAAAAAAAAAGTTTATAACTATCGTCAAAGCCCTCCAGTATAGTCTAAATGCATCATAAATAGTCATTTAAGGGACAAGGTAATTTCCTTCATTCAATTCTGCCATTTGTTGTTTTATATGTCCTTGACACTATGTTAAGTGTTACGCATATATAATGAACTATACCCTCAACTAGTTTACCCTCCTGGATATCTATCAAAATAAGAGGGGAGGGCTGCAGGTGGTGTGGTGGTTAAGGCACTGGATCTCACATGGCCCTAGTGATTGGAGTCCTAGACCTGGCCCCTGAAAAACAGCTCCAGCCACAAGTGCATGCCTGCCCAAAATGTAGAGAAAGAATGGAGGAGAAAGGATTGCAGCGTGGGCATCTTCCCTTGGGAAATGATTTCTCACTTTTCTGCTTTCTCTCCAGCACATGCCCCTTGGCAAAAAAAAAAAAAAAAAGAAGAAGAAAAAAAAGATATTTGCTATTACACTTTACATTAGCAGTGACCATAGTGGGGATAAAAATTAGAATGATGGGGGTGAAGTGCGGCAGCAGCTGATGACGTAATGGTAAGGGTGCTGGATCCCATATGGCAGTGGCTTGAAAAACATGCTGGGCGCACGTGTTGCACAAAGTCCCAAGAGGAGAGATGGAGGAGAAGGGATTGTGGCTTGACCATTTCTTCCTGGAAAATGCTTTCTTACTTTCTGTTTCCAGTGAGCACATATGCTCTCTAGCAAAATTTAAAGGAAAGGAGGGTAAAAAGGAAATAGAATGATTGAAATTGTGTGGACTTGGAGAAAACCTTTTGGAGAAAATAGGTCTTAATGTGTACCTTAGAATAACAATTTCTAGAATATTCAGTTATTTGCCCAATGAATAACTGATTCTCTCTACAAGCTATACCATTTGTATTTTTTGTCCCTTTTCCTGCCCAACAGCAAGCACAGTGGAAGCGGGACAGGAAAGCTAATTTAAGCATCAGATTTCCTAGGGAAAAGAAGAGCACAAAATGGGAGGGGCAGCTAATAGCAGCAGTCCACTTGTTTTTCTAGTTAATTTATAAAACTATCCTTGGATTACTAATTTCCACCTTTTTTCTTTTAAAAGTTTATTTCTTTCTTCCACTAGAGAGACAGACAGCACTACCACAGGGTCTTCCCACATAATCTACCACTAACCCTGCCAGCCCTGCAACATGGGCACATTTTACTCTGTGTAAACATGAGTGTAAATTGCCAAAAAGGTGGAGGCCAATGACACAGTAGGGGCCAGCAAGTAGCATGGTGGTTAGGGGTACTGGGCCCCCACATGGTCAACTGCAGTTCGAGTCCCGGACCTCTGGGTTTGTTTTCTCACTCTCTCCCCCACCCCCTGCCGTTGCGACCCCCCTCTCTGCCCTGTCCTCAAAAGAAAAGAAGGAAGGAAGGAAGGAAAGAAGAAAGGAAGGAAGGAAGGAAGGAAGAAAGAAAAAGAAAGAAAAAGTTAAATAAAAATAATTCTTTTAAAAAATTGATATATGAGGCCAGTAGGTGGCCTAATGGTTAAAGCACTAGATTCCCACATGGCCAACCACAATGCAAGTTCTAAACTGGATAGCTTGAGAATCCTGCTGGGCACATGCGTGTGCAAGCCCAGAATCCCAAGAGGAAAATGGAAGAGAAGGGATTGCAACAAGGTCATCCCCCCAGGGTACGATTTCTCACTTTCCCGCCCTCTGTTTCTCTCTCTGAGGAGTGCATGTACCATATGGCAAAAAAAAAAAAAAATTTTGAAAAAAAGTATGAGGAAAATGTAATTACTCTCTGATAGTTAATCTTAAAACAAAATTATAAGTACCAAATGGCACAATCTTCTGGCTTGGCAACATTTCATATGAAAGAAAGACTATTTGATGTTTTTACAGAAACACCACAAATTTACTCAAAATAGATTCAGCTACGTAAATAAAATCTCCTCAGCCTCTGAGTAATAGGAAGAAAGCCCCTAAATACTAGATCAATTTAATAAAATTAGCCTGCTGCAATAATTAAAGAGTCATTTTAGGGGCTAGCAGGAGGCATGGTGGTTAAGTGTGCTGGACTCCCCCATGGCTGACTTCAGTTCAAGTCCCAGACTTGGCGGTTTGCTTTCTCACTCTCCTTTTCTATCTGTCTGGTTTTTAAAAAGCTGAAAAATAATGACAATAAATTTAAAAATTGTTTATAAAGATTATTTTATTCAACTTTATTTATTTATTTATTTATTTAATTTTAATTCGACCAGAGAGCGCCAGAGTAAGAGAGAGTGGGAAAGTGAGAAAGCAAGCCGCCAGGTCTGGGACTCGAACCTCAGCTGCCCATGTGGGAGTCCAGCGTCCCAACAATCATGCCATCAGCAGGCCCCAATAAATTAAAAATTTAAAATAAATAAAATACTCGATCCTTCTCACCCAACTTCCTTCAAAGTGGCAATTAAGAGGATAGAAGGGAAAACGGAGCAGATATGAACTTCAGACAGTATTGGGGAGTCAGGTCTTGAAATTTGCAAGTTTATTTTTCTATTCGTACTGAATTTTTCTGCATCAAAGTTTGTCATGGTTGCTCCTTGAGATGCACTTCCATACTGGGCATTCTCCTGGAACCTGCTCCCACCTGTCTTAGCTAAATCAAGGCCCTGTGATACACCGTAGTTGATTCAGCCTCACCTCACCAATGCTATGAACCCTCTGAATCTGCAGTCTGCAACAGTCATCTTAGGGTTCCTTGACCCTGCGTTTGGAAGGCCTCTGGCTCTCAGTCCAGCTACTGTTCATGACATTCCTTGAGGCTCTCCCCCTACCGTTGGAAGAATGATTCCACCAAAACATTCTGCCACTGGATTTACAACATGTGATGACACTTGTAAAGATAAAGTTTACCCAGACAAGTGATTGCTATGCTCATGTGTGTGTGTGTATATATATACACA